CACATACCGCATTTCCCAATGTCTGGGATTTTTAATGGCCCCCAGGGTAAATCACAGCAATCCATTGGCTGTACAAGACATTGGTGAGGCCATTTTTAGAATTCTGTGCTCAATTCTGGTGTCCCTGCTATAGGAAACATGTTGTTAAACTTGAAACGCTTCAGAAAAGATTTAAAAAGATGTTGCTGGGGTTTCACGGTTTGAGCTATAGGGAGAGGCTGAATAGCTTGGGGCTATTTTCTCTGGAGCATCAAAGGCTGAGGGGTGACATTATAGAGATTTATGAAATCATGAGGGGCATAGATAGGGTGAATAGCCATGGCCTTTTTCCCAGGGTAGGGAAGTCCAAAACTAGAGGGTGTCGGTTTAGGGTGAGAAGGGAGATTTAAAAGGGACCTAAGGGGTAACTTTTTCATGCAGAGGGTGGTGCATGTATGGAATGAGCTGCCAGAGGAAGTGGTGGAGGCTGGTACAATTACAACATTTAAAAGGCATCTGGATGGGTACATGAATAGGAAGAGTTTAGAGGGATATGGGCCAAATGCTGGAAAATGGGACTAGGTTAATTCAGAATATCTGGTCAGCATGGACAAGTTGAATCAAAGGGTCTGTTTCCATACTGTATAACTCTATCTCCTGCCTACTCTGTTGTAAGGTGGGCACTTTAGATATCTCATTATTTCCATGAAGTTGGGCCTATTGTAGTAGGAGACGTGGTTCCTGGCAACTCAGAAGTCATCAAACTTATGACTTTTCCTATGAAGATCAGTTCAAAAAGTGATGATAACTTCATATGACTTGACATGATAATGTATTGGAGTTAAATAATATTTTACAGTGATTAATGATAGTACTTTGCTGAGCTAGGTAAGTGACAACTAAGTTGATCAACATTTTGAAAGTGACCAAATGCATTACAGTTCTGTGGAGGATCACACATCGCCCTCTACCTCCTCCTCCAAGTCTTCTTTGATCTGAGGTCTCAAGAGAGTATTGTACCAGCAGCAGCCACTGCCCTCCTGATGGCACTGCTGAGTACAGAGGAGCTGCTGCCCTGTGGTTGGTGCAGCCTCTCAGTGGAGGTGGGTGGAGGAGGGCATCTTCCTCCCTCAGGGCTGCTCAATCCTAGTGATAAGCCCAACGTCAAGTGCCTGAATGGAACCAGATGCAGTGGGCTTTCTCAAAAAGTGGCAACATAGGGATCTTCCTGGCAAATTAGCTAAGACCTCTGTTGCCTCCATAAGAGTCTGACTGTCTGATAATTCAGTAAAATTGTTGGGCTTCAAAGGGTACTTTTCATGCAGTTGTAGTGTCCCTACCTCTGGGGCAGAAGTTCTAGGTTCAAGTCCCACCTGTCCTGGAGATGTCTCATAACAACGTGCCTGAGCAAGTTGATTAAACCAACTACTGTTGGGATTTGGAATGAAAAACCTGAGGGATCTAGGAGAAAGGATGTATCGTAGTCCAGATTATTTATTCAAACTTTTTTGTGTTGCGGTTATGGCAAAAGGTGGATTCCAAATGTATTGTTTCCCATAACTGTACCATTTAAACGATTTCACACATTGCATGTGTAAAGATAATCAGAGACTATTATTTGAAATAATTCCACAGAGGCTGGCATCCCATTACCAAGTCACCCTTTACTAACACATAGAGAGTCCTTGACACTGATCCAGCTCCCTCAGAGCCAGCTCTCAGAATGAACAAGATGCCTGACACTCTTGTTTATATATGTCAGCCAGGGCTCCCTGAATGGACCAGATTAACAGCTCCAACCAGGGAGTTGATATTCTATGAGGTCCACCTCACTGATCTCATTGCAATCACTGCATTATTCACTGAGTCACATAAAATATGTCCACCACAAATTCTATCCTTCGAAGAGATGGAAAACAGGAAAACAAACCAGTGTATAGAGGTGCAAATGATGTGGCTGAATTTCTTTCCAGGTTCATTAAAACACAGAAGACAAACGATAATGATCAATATTGAATCAACATAACATTAACAATGAAAATGACACAGAAGGATTAATACGTACAATGTGTACTATTATCGAGATTTATGTTTTTTTTTTACCTCTGAACACTTTACTTTGTTCTTGATATTTAAACCTGTGTGCTTATGCTTGTGATTGGAATCATATGATGTAGGATTCAAGACATATGTGCAGCCTTAGAATAGTGTCAGTCTGAGAGCTGTAAGTTTGAGTGTGTGTATAATGGAAACCAGAGCTCACATAACTTCTAATAAACTGATATCAATTGTGAATAGTTTTGCTATACTTTCACTTTTAACTACAGTTCTGTGCAATAGCACAGCATACACATCCATCTTGTGGTCATTATGTTTTCTATGAGTTCTTTTTTTTATTAGAATTAATGGAAAGTCATGTCTGTCAGATTTGAAGTGCTTTCTAACATGGTAGATTTTTCAGATGTTAGGGGCCACTTGAATCTCTGCCAAAAAGAGCCCCTAAAGCAGTTTTAATTTTGGCCTGACTTTTAAATGGGAGAGCCATACGGTTGAAGGCATAACGACAAAAAACTGGATTGAAATGTTCAAGGCACAAATGGAAAGATCTGCTTCAGCTGTGCAATATGGATCACAGATAACTTAGTATTTTTTGTCCTGTCATTCACTATCTGGGACACCGTATGGTTGGAGCTGCTGTTCTAAGACTTCAGCCATTTGGACCGGATGATGTGGTAAATTACTACATGCGGTGCTGTCTTTATTGTCAATTCAGCAGTTTTTCAAACTGTAACGTGGAAGGGCCCTCGCTTAGCAAAGTTAGTAACAGTGATTGTTTTTACTGGTGACTTTGTAACACCATTTCCCATGCAGGATTCTGATTGCCTTTTTCTGTGGGCTTCTCACTCCATGGCCGGGCCTTCCAACAATCTCACGGATAATTCCTCATGTTCGAAGGAAGGGTCACCGGACCTGAAACATTTACTCTGTTTTTTCCTTCACAGATGCTGCCAGACCTGCTGAGTTTTTCCAGCAACTTTGTATTTGTGTCTCACGGACAATTCTGTAGTTAATGACTACTGATAAATCTAAATGGAGTGAACGTGCCGATACCCTGGACGTGAGATTCTCAGTGCTCTGGGCTGAGGGGAACACCAGCTGGCATTGGCAGAGGTGATCCACTTTGGAAGCTGTTGGCAGTTTACTTACCTTCAAGTGACAGGCTTCAGTGTCACCCTCCAGGACTTGGAGCACACTTGCGATGATTAGACTGAGGCCTGCCTCACCTCTCAGGTGGATGAGAAAGATCCTGCAGTACTCAGAGCAGGGACATTAATAAGACCATAAGATATTGGAGCAGAAATTAGGCCATTCAGCCCATCGAGTCTGCTCTGCCATTCCATCATGGCTGATGGGTTTCCCAACTCCATTCTCCTGCTTTCTCCCTGTAACCCTTGATCCCCTTGACAATCAAGAACTTATCTACCTCCGTGTTAAATATACTCAATGACCTGGCCTCCACAGCCTTCTGTGGCAGTGAATTCCATAGATTCACCATTCTCTGACTGAAGAAGTTTCTCCCTATCTCTGTTCTAAAAGGTCTTCCCTTTACTCTAAGGCTGTCCCCTCGGGTCCTAGTCTCTCCTACCAATGGAAACATCTTCCCAGCATTCTCTTTGTCCAGGCCATTCAGTATTCTGTAAGCTTCAATTAGATTCTCCCTCATTCTTCTAAACTCCATTGACTATAGACCCAGAGTCCTCAAACGTTCCTTATATGTTAAGCTTTCCATTCCTGGGACCATTCTCGTGAACCTCCTCTGAACCTGCTCCAGGGCCAGTACATCCTTCCTGAGATATGGGGCCCAAAACTGCGCACAATACTCCAAATGCGGCCTAACCAGACTCTTATAAAGCCTCAGAAGTACATCCTTGCTTTTACATTCAAGTGCTGTCAAAATAAATGCCAAAGTTGCATTATCCCTGGCATTCTATCAATGTTTGTCCCTTAATTAACAACAGATTATCACAGTACTGCTGGCGACAGTTTGCTATTTGCGAATTGGCTGCTGTGTTTCCTCCATCACAGCAGTGACTTCATGTCAAAAGGCACTTCATTAGTCAAAAAGCACTGTTCGTTGGTCATGGGTGCCATGAGATAATTGCAAGTCTTATTTCAGTTTAGTAAAGAATTAAACAAATTAAAGACCTGTTTACTGAAAACCTGTGTACAGGTGCAGTGAACGTTTAAGGAATAAATGGTGCATTTGCCTTCATTGCAAGAGGATTTGATTATAGGAGCAAGTATGTTTTGCTGCAGCTATACAGGACCTTGGTGAGACCACACCTGGAAAATTGTGTGCAGTTAGATCTCCTTACCTCAGAAAAGATAGACTTTCTTTACGGGGAGTGCAGCAGATTTATTCCCGGGATGACAGGTTTGTCGTACAGATTAGGTTGACTGGGCCTGCATTCACTGGTGTTTAGAAGAATAAGAGGAGGTCGCGTTGAAATTCTGACAGGGCTGGACAGAATAAATGGAGAATAATGTTTCACATGGCAAGGGAGTCTAAATTAGGGCATCATGTTCTCAAGATACATTTCTGTCTGAGGCTGTGGAGAAATTTCTTCACTCAGTGGGTTGGGGACCTGGTGGAATTCTCTGCTACATAACACAATGGAGGCCAAATCACTGAATATATTCAAGAAATAAATAGATTTCCAGAGCCTAAGGGCATCAAGGGGTATGCGGAGAGAGCAGGAGTCTCATGTTGATATAATGGATCACCCACAATGGTATTGAATGCCGGGTAAGGGCTCAATAGACCAAATGGCCTACTCTCGCTCCTATTTTCTCTGGTTTCTGATTTTTCAAGTTCTGAGTGTTATTTTTAATGAACTAAACTGTATGCATATAATCTAGCTGTCCTGAAGGCTATCCATTATAATGTAATCATGTATTCATTTTGAAAATGTAGACGTCCCAAAGCTTGTCTAATTTGTTTTGTCTTTTGTTTCTCACAGTTTCACTCACTGGCTCCAATGTATTACCGTGGGTCTGCAGCAGCCGTTATAGTTTACGACATCACAAATGAGGTAAACTGCTCTAATGTCCAGTTCTTTAGTTTAAAATCTTTGTCAATCAGTTTTGGGATTCCAAATGATTGGAATTACATCTGGAACAGCGGATCACATCTCGCTGTGTTTTCATGAGAGAATGAAACTAACTGAGTTACTTGTCAGAATTACTGTGGGAGACAGTATTCAACTAGAGTTACAATTTTCTCTTGTTTTGTTGCAGACGCAGTATATCTGCACAATTAGATTTAGCATAACTTGTGCTTAATTAAATGTGTAGCATAGTGGCTCAGTGGTTAGCATTGCTGCCCCACAGCCCAGGGACCAGGGTTCGTTTCCAGCCTTGGGTGACTGTCTGTGTGGGTTTCCTTTGGGTGCTGTGGTTTCCTCCCACAACCCGAAGATGTGCAGGTTAGGTGAATTAGCAATGGTAAATTGTCATTAGTGTTGAGGGATGTACAGATTAGGGAGATCAACCATGGGAAATGCAGAGATGGGTTGGTTCTGGGTGGATGCTCGTCAGAAGGTCAATGCTGAATGGCCTCTATCTGCACTGTAGGGATTCTAAAGGATAAATTGGAAGATACCTGCAGGTTGTCTCAGGTCATGTGCTGGCCAATTGGCCAAACCTTACTGATTGCTTTAGCTGGAAGTATGCCATATGTTCATTCACAAACAAAAACAGAAATTGCTGGAAAAGCTCGGCAGGTCAGGCAGCATCTGTGGAGAGAAATCAGAGTTAGCGTTTTGGGTCCGGTGACCCTTTCTCAGAACTTAGATTCATTCAGTTGCTTAAGGACTGCCTTTTGGCTTTTTGGTGGGAGGACAATTGCAGACCTCTTTTTACAATGCCTGTCTGCTACCTATTTAATGAGACTTATTTCCAGGTACAAAATGAACAGCGATCAACTCCTGAAGGTTTGCGGAGGAGAAATTCAGCTCTTCCTGAGTTCTGTGAGTTTTCATAGAATACCATACAGCACAGGAACAGGCCCTTCAGCCCACCATGTCTGTGCCGACCATGAGGCCATTCTAAACTAATCCCATCTGCCTGCACATGGTCTGTACCCCTCTCTTCTTTGTCTGTTCACACATCTGTCTAAGTGCCTGTTTAACATTGTTACTGCATTTACTTCTACCACTTCTCTTGGCAGTGGGTTCCAGGCACCGACCATCCTCTGCGTAAAACAACTTTCCTCAAACATCTCCTTTAAACTTTCTCCGTCTCAATCTAAACTTGTGCCCCCTAGTATTTGACATCTCTACCCTGGGGAAAAGGCTCCGACTATCCACCCTATTCATAATTTTATTTACAGATAACCCCTCAGCCTCTGACACCTGAGCGAAAACTATCCAAGTTTGTCTAACCTCTCCTTTATAGCTAATACATTCCAATCCAGGCAACATACTGGTTTTGCCCCCTCTCCAAAGCCTCCAAATCCTTCCTATAGTGTTGGAACCAGACTACACATATGTTCTAAGTGAGGCCTAGATAAAGTCTTATACAGCTGCAGCATTACTTACCAACTTTTATACTCAATGCCCCAAATGGTGAAGGCGATCATCCTTCTTTATCACCTTATCCACTTGTATTGCCATTTTCAGGGATCTATCAACATGGACCCCACGATCCTTCTGTATATCAATGCTCCTAAGCATCCTGCCATTTATTGTATATTTACCTTTTGCATTTGACCTCCCAAAATGTATCACCTCACACTTGTCCAGATTCAACTTCATCTGCCAGCTGATCTATGTCCTGATGTATCTCTTGATAACCTTCTTCACTATTCACGACTCCACCAATCTGTGTGTTGTCTGTTAGCTTACCAATCCAGCCACCTACGTTTTTATCCAAATCATTTCTGTATGTTACAAACAACAGGGGTCCCAGCACTGATCCCTGTGAAACACCATTGATCACAGATTGCAAGTTGAAATACGCCCCTCCATAACTCTGTCACCTATGACTAAGCCTATTTTGTATCCAACTTGCCAACTCACTTTGGATCCCTGTGACTTAATCTTCTGGACCAGCCTCCATTGTGGGACCTTGTTGAATGCTTTAGTAAAGTCCATATAGACAACATCTACTGCCCTAACCTCATCAGTCATCTTCGTTACTTTCTCAAAAAACTCAATCAAATTTGTGAGACAAGACCTCCCCCACATAAAGCCATATTGCCTATCCCTGATAAATCCATTCTTCTCCAAATGTGAGTAAATCCTATTTCTAAGAATTTTCTCCAATAATTTCCCACCCTCTGGCTTATAATTTCCTGAATTATTCCTGTTGCCCTTCTTAAACAAAGGAACAACGTTGGCTATTTTCCAGTCTTCTGGGGCCTTGCCTGTGGCTAGACAGAATGTAAAGATCTCTATAAAGGCTCCTTGTCTCCCTCAGTATCCTGGTATAGATCCCATCAGGCCCTGGGGACCTATCTACCCTAATGTTTTCAAGACACCCAATACCACCTCCTTTTTAATGCCAACATGCCCCAGAATATCAACATATCCTTCCTTAATCTTACCATCATCCATATCCTTCATTTTAGTGAATCCTGATGTGAAGTACTTGTTAAGGACCTCACCCATCTCCTGTGGCCCCATGCATAATTTGCCTCCTTTGCCCTTGACCTAGCCTTTCCCTAGCAATCCTCTCGCTCCTAAATGCACTTATAGAATGCTTTGGAATTCTCCTTCATCTTACTTATCAAAGATATTTCATTGCCTCTTTTAGCTCTCCTAATCCATTGTTTAAGTTATTTTCTGCTTCCTAAATACTCCTCAAAGGCCTTGTTTGATTTCAGTTTCCTACACCTTACATATGCTTCCTTTCTCTTTTTGACTAACCTTTCAATATCTGTTGCACCCAGCATTCCTGAATCTTGCCATTCTCATCTTTCATCCTCACAGGCACATACTGGTCCTAAACACTGATCAACTGGCCTTTAATAGACCATGTAGTATGTGGATTTACCCTCAAACAACCACCTCCAATCTAATTTCTGCAGTTCCTACCTAATACTGTTGTAATTAGACTCCCCCCCACCATTTATGGAATTATGATCACTGTTCCCAAAATCCTCCACTGTAACTTTGATCACCTGGCCAGGCTCATTCCCCAGTACAAGGTCGAGTATGGCCCCTTCCCCAGTTGGACTATTTGCACATTGTTTCAAGAAACCCTCCTGGATGCGCCTAACAAATTCAGACAATATCAGACAATGCCCATGTTCTTCCATCACTGTACCTGTGGATGTCCTGTTCCACCAGCAGGGTGGGACAAACCGAAGGCATTTCTTTTTTGTGCAGAATTATATTTACAAATAATAGAGCAGGAAAGACCCATCAGAGCACTGGAGTGCTCAGCATTGATCCCAGACCTCATAATGTTTTATGGTATTAGGTCAGATGCAGGCTGACCGGCACCAATGCCTACTCAACTGATGAACCTGTACTCCTCCATGTTAAATGATACTTGGAAGAAGCACAGTGTAAGGGCAGAACGGGAAACTTTAGTGTGCAGCAGAAGGTGTGACTGAGTAGAAACACTGATTGAGATGAGTTCTGAAGGACATACCTGCCTTGGGGCAGCTGGTGAGAGAACCAATGTGAGGGAAAACAAATTTGAATTCTAATCACCAACCTATCTGTCTCAAACGCGTCGAATAGTAACAGTATTAGTACAACTGATAAATAAAACCAATAACAAAACAAATTGTCTGACTCATAACTTCATTAATCCCCATGGAAGATTGTGAAAATGTGTCTTGACTTTGATGCTGCTGTGTGAAGGGGCAAATTTCGTCACAATATTTTAGCTTTGGTTTTAGAATGGTGCCAGTATAATGAAGAACTCTAACAGGAAATTTCTTTTTTTCAGTTTTTCCTTTGAAACAGCATATTTCGAACTTGGTAGTCAGATGCTCCTGTTGGTTTGGAGCTAGGGTTCATGCCAAATCAATTCACAGCAGATAAATTTTTTTAAAATAAGGGACCTTTTTAAAACGATCACATTACTGAGTACAACTCATTAGCAAATGCAAGCAAGTGGGATATGATTCTTATGTAATGTTATGAACCTAGACTATATAATTTCCAGCAAAATGCAGTCAATATTAATCCATTTACATTGATTGTTCTGTGGCCACTTGTATAGTATTTCAAGTTATCTGCTGTCTCTGGTACCTGCTTAATGGAAGAGAAGAGACAGAAGTTTTCATAGAATATGCATGTGTCTACCAAGATGCATTGAATAATCCCAAAGCTCCCCGAACACTCAGTGCACAGTTCAGTGTGGAGTTAAATCAAAGAAACAGCAGAGGTTTGCGAGTTTGATCCTTAGTCAGTGCTGAGATAATTCATATTGCATCAATCCTGTCTATGAGTATCAGGAGGGGATTGGTTAGTTCAGTTGGATGGATAGCTGGATTTGTAATGCAGTGTGATACCAATAGAATGGGTTCAGTTCCTGCACTGGCTAAGGTCACCACAAAGGTCTTGTTTTAATTCCAACAATATACTTTATTCATAAAAATACCTTCATAAACATACATCGTCACCTAAAGCAGTTTGGTTCTGTACTGTAGCATATGAAGGAACAAACAAACGGAGTTTGACTCTATCCAACAAACAAACTAAAGGCATTTCTTGCTTGTGTAGAATTATATTTATACATAATAGAGGCACCAGGAGGGTCTGATAATTGAACAGACCCAAATTTAACTTCAGCAGATAGGCTTCAAACAGTGGTTCACCATGAAGGACTCTCCTTTTTTTATTTTCAAAAATATACTTTATGCATAAAAAATATCTTTATGTATAAACACAAATAGATAGTCACAAACGCAGTTCAGGTCTGTAGAATAGCATATGAAGAAAACAGGTAACTCCTCTCCCTTCTCCTGAGGCATGGTGACTCTCAGGTTAAATCACTGTCAGTTGTCTCTCCCTATTGACAGAGCAGCCCTATGGTCCACTAACATTAAGACGACTTGATTGGTATTGGGACAGGA